CACAACAACAGGCTTCAACTTGTTACAATGCACCCAGGACGGAACATTTCCCCGAATTCGGTTTTGAGCAGTCAGTTTCATGGTATCTCCATGATGAATTCGGTTCATTGCTGTGGTTTTCGCGCTGTGTCCGGGACATCCCCGAGGTACAAATACTACGGGCTAACTAATCTGGCTCTGCTTCATGTTAAAAACTATAACGGTTCAAGCCGCCTACCACCAACTCCCCCAGCGGGTTGTTTCTAGAAGCTTATGTGGAGGCGTATTGAGAATATATAAGGCGTTGTTATCATGTTACGGCGCTATATACTTTCCTTTTCTGCTCCATCTTGATGGTACACAGCTTAGGGACTAGTTAGTTGAATCAACTCGCTAGAAGCCTTTCACAAAAACAGCTTCCAGAATGGCAGATAGCAATGCAGCCTGAAACCAACCAGACCATTCAGTCGCCAGGATAGTGTCACGTTATGAGGCCCATTGTTAACTAAGTTGCTTCGTAAAATTATTGTTGTTGTCCACCCCCTACACTCTAGAAACTGAAGACAGTTAATACTCTTGGAATACGGTTTCCACTTGCCACTCTTGTGGCAAAAAGCACTTGCGTGTTTAGATCAACAGATGCAGTTTTATCCGACCCTACTCAGGGTGAGGTCGATATCCAGCAGATTGTGACGGTACAAGGCACGAACAAGGTCGAGTGCGACTTGGATAAAGCGATTATTCACAAGGAGAAAAAGAGAACCCCTAAAAGGAACTCTGGCTGAAGCTTTTTACACAATGTTCACAAAGTGAGACATTCATTAAACAGGCAGGTCACATGATTCCCTCACACAGATGGTCAATTCAATGTCTGACGATGAGATATGTAACTTACGTGGACAAGAAGGATGTGGATTGGTAGAGATTTATGAGAATATTGCCTCTTAATATTCACATCTTACTCCCACTTTGCACACTCGACATCAACCGACAATTACTCAATAACCATGGCGCCAATTGATGAGGCGCTTGCTTTCCTGAAATCGTCAGAATCTGTTAATTATGCTGAGACTGCAAGGCGCTTCAATTGTGACGAGACTACGCTACGACGCCGACATCAAGGCAAACAGCGGTCAAGACGGGATGCTGACAGATTGTATAAGTCACGTCTGTCAAAACAACAAGAACGAGATCTTATTGCCTATATTCATAAGCTTTCATCACGTGGCATTCCACCTACCCTACCTATGATAAAGAACTTCGCCCAGGATATCGCGAAAATCAAGGTCGGAAAGGACTGGCCGTACAGCTTCGTTCGACGCAATCATATTGAGTTAGGTTGCACATGGTTCGATGGGTTAGACATCGCGCGAAAGAGAGCCGACAATGCCTCTAGGTATAAGGCTTATTTTGAGCTTGTAAGTCAATGCGCGAAGCTTCCCTTTCACCGCTGACGATGGAAGATCCGCGCCAAAATTGAGAAATACAACATCCTGCCCTGCAACACGTATAACGTGGATGAGAAAGGATTTCTCTTGGGTGTGATTAATCGAACAAAGAGAGTATTTTCCCTAAATGTCAAAAAGCAAGGCAAATTGCTCGGTGCATCGCAAGATGGCAATCGATCCTGGATTACGTTCCTGGCATGCGTCAGCCAGGACATGACATCGCTGCCCCCATTTCTCATCTACCAAGGCAAGCCAGGACAAGTCCAAGATTCTTGGCTCACGGAATTTGACCCAGAGCATCAATCCGCCTTCTTTACAACCTCAGAGACGGGGTGGACAAATCACGAGCTTGGAAAAGAGTGGCTAATTGGCGTTTTCGATCGCTTTACCAAGGCGAAAGCTCGTAATGGTCGTGATTATCGCCTTCTTATTACCGATGGCCACTCTAGCCATGTCAATATGGACTTTCTGGAGTGGTGTGAGCAGCACCGGATTATCGTAGCGGTGTTTCCCCCCCATTCCACGCATCGGCTACAGCCCTTGGATGTGTCACTATTCAGTCCCCTCTCAACCGCATACTCAAACCAGCTTATCCAGTGGACAGCAAAAACACAAGGGCTTATTAGTCTATCGAAACGTGAGTTCTGGACTTTGTTTTGGAACGCATTTGAGACTTCCTTCTCTCCCGAGAACATGGCGAGTGGGTGGAAACGAACTGGTCTCATGCCTTTTGACCCAGATGTCGTCTTATCACAGATCACTGAGAAAGAACAAGACGATTCGGATACAGGTGGCGACTCGGCAGAATCACTAGCCCTCCAGCAACCTACTGCCCGAGATTTACGCCGACTTGTTGACAAGGTAGTCGACAAATCCGCTGTCGATGCTGACCGCAACAGCCGAAAGCTGAAGAGCACTCTCGAAAGCCTTCAATCTGAGGTTGAACTGCTTCGATATGAGAACCAAGGACTCCGTGAGACAATCATTCATGAGAAGCAGCGCAGACAGCGCGGTAAAGCCCTGAAAGATCTACTCTTTGATCGCACAGATCCTAACTCAGCTCAGGTGTTTAGCCCAGCAAAAGTCGCTCAAGCTCGCCTAAGGAAAGCGGCGATGGACGCCCAAAAGAAAGAGGAGATTCTGCAGAAGGAAACGCAAAAGGTTCAGCGACATCAAAAGGCGGCGGAGCGAAAAGCTCTTGCTCTGGAAAAGAGGAGGCAACGAGAGGCGGAAATGGAGAGAAAACGGCAGGTAAAGGAAGCCAGACAGCAAGAGAAGGAGACCAATCGGCAGATTCGGCAAGACCTTAACCGTCGCAATCCGGAGATAGTACATGTAATGCAGCATGAACGACAGGTGGCATCGGAAGATCGCGAGAAGAGTCATGACGTTCGAGACGAGATAATCGTCGCTCTTCCACTCAGGGTGGCGATCAACTCAACGTCAATCATGAGGTTGTCAACCTGGTTGACGTCAATCAACCCAACCAAACTCAACGTAGCATACTCTCACTGGCCAATCAAGATAGCAATGCAGCCTGAAACCAACCAGACCATTCAGTCGCCAGGATAGTGTCACGTTATGAGGCCCATTGTTAACTAAGTTGCTTCGTAAAATTATTGTTGTTGTCCACCCCCTACACTCTAGAAACTGAAGACAGTTAATACTCTTGGAATACGGTTTCCACTTGCCACTCTTGTGGCAAAAAGCACTTGCGTGTTTAGATCAACAGATGCAGTTTTATCCGACCCTACTCAGGGTGAGGTCGATATCCAGCAGATGGTCAATTCAATGTCTGAAGATGAGATATGTATATCCTTCCTTTGCAACGGTTCCGCAGACGTCACCACAGGCCAGGAATCTGTCCGCTGCATGGGGCGGGCTTACCGCCTCGGATGGGGATGAGACCTCTTGGAAGAAGCTGGCTATCTTATGAGCAACCGTTCCAGTAGCGTAATTGACCTCGAAGGATTTGGGCGAGGACGAGCGTCACTTAGGTGGACAAGAAGGATGTGGATTGGTAGAGATTTATGAGAATATTGCCTCTTAATATTCACATCCTTGCGTTAAATATTTTTCGGCTCTTTCTAGCACTGAAGTTAAATTCACTCTTCTACGTCATCTCCAACCAGAAGAAGAGTGGGGGATGGGAGCTGCAGACCCAACACAACAGCCCATCTTCTGATCCGCATATGCAAACCGAAGCGTCGAATCCTGCTCTACGTTTCGTCCCCTGGCGCACGCCAAATGACGAGTCGGGTCTTTTTCCCATTTAACCAGGTAATGTGGGCAATCAGCTTGTCCTCCTCCTGTTCGATACAGTCTACGGAGTGAACTTCACCCCTCCAAGATCCCAGGAGCGGGTACCACCACTGTGCGCGGTTGGCCACTGTCACGTCCGTGAGGACAACCTGCTGTTGTCGCTTCTTCGTCGCTCCTATTCTTAGAGTTGTCCCGAGCCGTTTCCCTTTCTTCTTTGTAATGATCTTTTTGCGCCGTGCGATACATTTATTGTATCGCATGACAAATTGGGGCACACACTCTCTATGCCGCTGGTTAGCACCGGGTCTTCTTGACGGCCTGAGGGATCCTACATCAAGCTCTCTTCAGGCTCCCACGTTGTTTCACCGCAACCCTTCCACTTGACGCAATACTGCATTGTCCCCTAAGCAATATTAGCCTCGTCCTCTTAAACTCATGTTGTCGATATACATATACATCTGGGGCGATCATATGGTCCTTGATTGCCTGGACGGTATACCTGGTAATCGTAAGTTGAAGCAAGCTATTGGGGCATGCACTGCTGCTCTACCAATTTCCATTACGCCCGGCCACTTTTTTGCCGACTCCATTCGTGTGAAAAGAGGCTACAGGTGGTTCAGAATGGATTGTGAAGTCAACATCGTCGTAGGACTCAAAGGCGTTTCGCGCACGACCCGGCTGGGGTCTGTGGGCTCTTAGGTTATACCGGTTCCCTCTTCCGATGTGCTCTGGGAATGCCATGTCCTACGAATATTTCCTGCAAGTGCAGAGTATCAGGCATTTTAAGCTTATTGCAGCTGACAAAGTGCTTGATCTTATTTTGGGTACGGCCGGTGAAATCGAGCGAATTCTATGACTTTATCATCTGAGTTACGTAGATACCCTACAAGAGTATGAGTATGACAGGACAGTGCGGTACTGCCTTTACCCCTCTGCACACGTGTCAATTTGGTTCCATTTCATCAGGACAACCGGGTCAATTTGGTTCCATTTCATCAGGGCAACCGGGTTGTGACAAAAAAACAGTAACAACTATCATCGTATTATACAATAAATGGATGAGAGGGCGTGAGCATATGTGATGAGTTTTGGGATGGAGGGGAATTGACTACCGGAACAGGATAGCCATTGTCTCTTCAGCAAATATGCTAGAATCAGTCGGGCAGTAGTGGGTCAGGGAAGCAAAGTGTTGTGAGGTGATGTGTTCAATTCCTAATCCCGTCAAGGTATGGATGCGGACACTGCCCAAATGACCGGAGTTGGCGTCCTATTCAGCGGACAGCTAGTCCCAGCGGAAGCAGTTTTAAGTAGTGGGTCACTGAAGCATGACTCTGCACCAAGACCGATCATTATTTTGTCGTCACCCAAGAGAGTGTCAGAAATACGGCGGCGCTACTGGACGGCCGATCTAACGCAACTTCGTCAAATCTACACATACTGGCGCAGCCGAGCCAGAGCAGCGAGACGAGAAGGATAGACTGAAGGAGAGCTCGGCAAGACGGTCAAGCCGCAGCCAAACAATATCATATTACCATTCGACAACAGAAGAAATCTCGCTGGGATGCCTTCTTGGCGGATAACGACAACATCCAAGACTTGGAGTGACGCGACGTTCGGCAAAGTACCGCAACTCGTTAGGGCAGGCAAAACCCGGACAACCTGCAATAAAGACCAAGCGCAGAGTTGCTGGCCACCTTTTTTCCGGCCCTACCGGACGATAATGACGATGAGGGAGATAGGCCCCAACGACTTCCCGTGCACATGCCAGATCTCACTATGGAGGAAGTTGAGCGCTAGCTGCTAGCTGCTAAATCTTGGAAGGCACCTGGCGAAGAGGGCTCACCTATGGTGGTCTCGAAGGAAGTCTGGCCAGCGGTGAAAGACAGGGTGCTAGTGTTGTTTCGCGTATCACTGGATCAAGGGTCACTGCCCGACCTGTGGTGACATGCAAAGACTATACCTCTGAAAAAGCCGAAATAAGGCTGACTATGCGATGGCTAAGGCCTGGAGACCATATTTCGCTCCTATCCACACTTGGTAAACTGCTAGAAGCTGTGATTGCAGAAAGAATATCTCATGTAGTCGAGACATATGGACTGCTGCCCACGAACGACTTCGGAGCTCGTAAACATCGGTCGGCAGAGCAAGCATTGCGGCTCCAGCAAGAGCAGATACACGCGGCATGGAGAGGGAACCGAGTTCTCCGCCTGATCAGTTTCGGTGTGAAGGGAGCGTATAACGGCGGGCTAGAGGGATCCCAGAGAAGGTGCTCAGTGGATTGAAGCCTTCTGTTCAAACCGCACAGCC